CGGGTTAAGTCGGGCGTGTCCCACTACAGGGGGATTTTCGACGAAAAATGAAAAATACTCAAGAAATACTCAAAAATGGTATTTAAAAAAAAATACCATTTTTGACTATTTTGGAATATCCCTCCTGTAGAGGGACAGGCCCGACTTAAGCATAGGGGGGGATGCATCGACCTGGAATCGACGATACATCGCCGATAGATCGGCGACAGGCCCCCGATGGTGAATCCGCACCTTCCTGGGAGGGTTGGGGCTGTCAAACCCTACCTTCGGTCACAATGGACCATTGGGGGTCGACGCATTCCCCCCCTATGCCTATCCCCCCCTGTCGTTGCCCCCGAAGTTGACATCGCCGACGCACCAGCGAGGCGTCGGCGACGCCGGGACGGAGAGAACGCCAGGCACCAGACCGCGCCGCTCATTGCCGCTGCATCGCGGGTACCGCGCAGCCCTCCGGCCCCGTCCGCTCCAGATCCTGGTCGGGCGGCCCGCGTGGACAGCCGATCCTCCTAGCCCACCCCACAATGGGCCTGTTCTCCACCACAACCACCATAAGTTGGAGGGGGGAAGGAGGTGGAGGATGAGGAAGAAGAAGAAGAAGAAGGAGGAGGAGAAGAAGAAGAAGAAGGAGGACCCCCTCCCCCTCCTACTTGTGGTGGTGGTGGTGGTGGTGGTGGAAAACGAGCCCACCAACCCCACGCGTGCCGAGAGCATCCCCCGTGCGATCCCATCGCCATGGATCGGTAGACGCTTGGAGGTCCGCGCAGATCTCTCGGATGGGAATCGGCCCCTTTGCCTGACGCTCGGAGCGCGCGCCGTGGCCCGAAGCGGAGGCGCCGCCAGGGGTACCCAGCGCCAATCCGAGACATCCGCGCAAGCCTTCGAAACCTGTGCCTATGCAGCTTCTTGCGCTTCGGGCTAGGACAGGCATGCCCCGCCTGCCCGCGCGATGCTCCCCACGCTTCTCGAGAAGAAGCCTTCGAAAGCTGTGCCTATGCAGCCTCTTGCGCTTCGGCTTAGGACAGGCGTGCCCCGCCTGCCCGCGCGATACTCCCCATGCTTCTCGAGGAGAAGCGTCTGTAGGGGAAAAAAACAAAAAACACAAAAAAACTGTTTTTGTGTTGTGTGTGTTTGTTTCGTGTGTTGTTTGTTTTGTTAGTTTGTTGTGTTTGTTTGTTTGTGTGTTGTTTGTTATGCTGTTTTCGTTGTTTTATGTTTTTTCCCCCACAGGAACGTTCTCGTCAATCGTGCGTGGCGACAGCGACCCCAGGGGCCTCGAGGGGGCCAGCAGGGCGACCCACGGGGCTACAAAGAGGCCCCCTCGGGGGCGGCCTCGCCGGAGGACCGGTCGAGAGGATGGCGGCCCTCCCTGGCGCTTCTCGTCCTTCCTGGGCCTCCTGGGGACTGCTCGTCACCATGGCTATATACGACTCGACCTCGACTCTGCTCTGCTCGATTCGACCCTACTCTACTCCACCCTACACGAGCCGACCCTACCCTAAACTACTCTACTCTACTCTACTCTACTCTACTCTTCTCTACCCCACTCTACCCTACTCTACTCTGCTCTACTCTACTATGCTCTACTCCTATTCGGTTCAATTATAATATGATATCCTTTACTCCCTCGACTCTACCCTACCCTGCCCTGCTATACCCTACCCTATTCGACACGAACTCACTCTACCCTCTACCCTACGCTGCCCTGATCTACTCTACCATAATCTACTCTGCCCTACCCTACCCTACCCTTATATAATCTGCTCTACTCTACCCTACCCCATTTATACTCCACACTATTGTATAATAGTGTACTATCCTCCTACTCTACTCTAATCTACTCTCACATAGTCTAATCCACTCGACTCTAATCTAATGTTGTATGTGGTATTCGACTCATACTCAGCCACTATTCCCTAATTACGCTGCTCTTCGCTGCTCTATTTCATCATATTAGACTTATGAGTTTGACGATGGTTGGACGATTTATTGGGACGCCGTTGGAATAGCCACAAGGAGCCATTGGAATAGCAGAGGCAGTCATGCGGATGCAGAAGAAGCCATGCGGGTAGCAGAGAATACAATGCGGATACAAAAGAAGCCGTGCGGATAGTGCTGACGACTGGTTGACGAATGTTGGGACGCCATAGTAATAGCCACAGAAAGACATTGGAAGAGTAGAGGACGCCATGCGGATACGGAGAAAGCCATGCGGATAGCAGAGGAAACGATGCGGATACAAAGGAAGCCATGCGGACAGGTTGACGACTGCAAGGGCGCAATACGGGGAGGGGGACTAGTGGACCAATTCTCTTTGGTTTGGGCTCGGGCTCCTGTAGGCAAACCTATTTGGAGAAACAACGGGTAAAGATGGACCCCAGGAGGGGTCCGCGGACCGATTGTGACCGGAATTAGGCCCAGCGGGAGAGCCACCGTTGTCTCAACTAGCCCTGCTTCGATGACTGTGACCCGCACCGTGCACCCTGTGCGTGCCTCGGGTCAGGACGAAGCGCCCGTAACAGAACAAACTGAGGGTCCCCTGTGAAGACAGAAACATTGAAAGGAAAGACGATATTCAGACTGGTTGCGTCTCCTCGCCTTTGCTCTGCATGCCCTCAAAGGAGATTGAGGGCCCCAAGAAGAGCTCGAGAGGGCGCAAGCGGGCTCTGAGGGGGGGTACAAAAGTGTCCCAATCAGGCGCAGAGAGGAGAAAAGGAGGGCCCAAAGAGGACGTTGTCCTGAATGCTTCCCAATCCCGAGGACCCCAAAAGATCCACGGGTGGCCAAAACAATCCCTTGCTAAAGCGTGTGCGCACGCCACCACGCAGCCACTCGAACACACATTACCCCTTGTTTTCTTGGGCAGGCGGAGCGCGTTGAGCGGATGGATCGCTTGTCTGCTTAAACAAGAACCCCGCAAGCCCGTGGTCGCCAGTGTCCAGCACTGCAGACCACCAGTCTTCGATTGTGTGGACATCTCCGAATATATCGTCAACGTGCATTCTCAGTCTGGACTCCACAAAGAACTCGTTGGTTATGTCCTCGTGCCAGTATCCAGAACCCACGAACGCCATAAAGGCGGCCAGCGACAGCGGCAACTGCAGGAGGCCCATGGACTTCTGGATGCCCGTCTTGATCACTCTCCTGAGCACCTTTCGCTCAGCTATGTCGTCGTGCCCGACCAGCTCGTCAAAGGTTAACATGCGGCCCGCCTGGATGCGGAGAACATCGGAATCCCGACGGTGCGAGGCGGGCTTCTTCGCCGAGCGCGCAACAGACGCCATGGCCGAAGGACCAGCGGGTCGCAGAAGGGGAGTTGCCAGCCGGGGGAAGAGCGGTGGCAGATCTCCGAATGATGCTCCCGCTAAAACAAGCAATCGAGCCCATATGAACGCGCGCAGACAGCACCGATCGGAGGACGACTGCGAGCACTGCTACTGCTTTCGACACCCAGGGATGACGTGAGGTCCTCGTTTACTATCTGCGCAAGCGAAAGAGAACGACGCACAAAGCAGACTTAGTGATAGTGCCTCGCGAGCAGAAACACGATCTGCGCTGCTGGAGCGAACGCTGCCGCGGGAGAGGAGAGAGACAAGAAGAGGCGAACATCGGAGATTCCGAAAGCTAGGAATAACACACTTGAGGAGCTGCGTGCAAGCACTGATCTGAACCTGCTCAATGCCTCCTTCACCACAGGCACCCTGGGGCCAGTGCCCCTCCTGCGAACCTCCTGTGGCTTCGCGAGCCTGCCCGCACGCTTCCTGGCGCACGTCGCGCTGTCGGCGCTGCTGCCACGAACTTCACTCCAAACGTGACCGTTTGCGAGCTCATAACAACGACGACACCCTCCGGATGCCTCTGGAGACCTCTAGAGCTCCTCCCCAAAAAACAAACTTCGGAAAAAACAAATCCGATGATAACCTCCGAAAGACGACGACAACGACAACGAAGGACGAAGGACGACGGCGACGGCGACGACAAACAACAAACAAAGGACAACGGACGACGGACGACGGACGACGGACGACAACGACGACGGACGACAAAGACGACGACGACGACAGACGACGGACGACGGACGACGACGACGACGACGACGACGACGACGACGACGACGACGGCGACGACGACGACGACGAGGACGGACGGACGGACGGACGGACGGACGACGGACGGACGGACGGACGGACCCGACGACGACGACGACGACGACGAGGACGACGACGACGACGACGACGACGACGGCGCTCGCGCGCCCACCGTCCCCCGCACGCCGCAGGGACGGCCGGAGCAGGATGCGCGCGAAGTTGATGCGCTGCCGCTCCCCGAGCGACAGGATGCTGGACCAGTCCTGGGGGAGGGTCGGGCCTGTCCCCCTACAGGGGGATTTTGGACGAAGAATAAAACATGTTTTTGTTTATAAAAAAAAAAAAAAAAAAAAAAAAAGAGATGCCCAAGAGCACTAAAAGAAAAAAAGTAGTCCGCAGACCATGTTTTGACTATTTTTGCATCTTCCCCCTGTAGAGGGACAGGCCCGACTGAAACCCTGGGGGAGAGTCGGGTGCTCGCTCGGGGGCTCCCTTCCTGCAGCCACTCCCTCTGGCGGCGAGCGGTGGGGGGGGGGGGGAAGTGAGCGGGAGAAGGCCTTCTCTGGGAGGCCTTCTGCGTCTTCGGGGAAGGCTGAGAGAGCTTCTCTCGCTTCCCCCGGGCGCCGGGTCGAACGTCCGTCGACTCGGGTCGAAGCTGAGTCGAACTAGAGTCGAACAGATCCATCAGGGGTGCCCCAGGACGGTCCCCCAGACGAGCGTTCAAGCAGAGGGCTCCCCCCGCCCCCCGCTCTTGGACGACGAGGGCCTGGGTCTGTCAACCATTCGATCGACGCAACGACCAAGTCTGTCGGCGCGGCCCGGTGCGATCGCGTGAGCACCATCAGGGGCTTGCCACCGGCCAGTGCTTGCCAGGCTGGCTCAAAATCGGATCTCGGGCAGAGCATGCGATGGGTTCCCCCCCTCCACTGCCGACCGCCCACGCGCTTCCCCACTCACTCTCCGGCTTCGGCCGTCCTAGCCGGCGGGCACCCGACGGCCCGTCTCAGTAGACCGGGGGGGGGGGGGGCAACAGGCCAGTCTCGATGGCACCACGGCTGCCAGCTGCTGCTCGGCATCTGCACGTCGTCTCGCCGCGCTGCAGCGACCCTCCCCAGAATCCCTGGGGCCGCCTCGGGCTCAAGCCTGTGCCGTGGGGGGCGGCTGGGTACGGTCCGATCCGGGACAGAAGAGCATCCTCCAAGAACTGGAGACCCTCCGCTGGCCAGACTGAAGGCACCCTCCCCCAGGATGCACAAGAGCGTCAAACAAGCACGAAGAGCATCAGGGTACCCTCCCCGAACCGACCTCGATCCTTGTACCTCGGTCCGACCGCAAGCGCTCGCGTCCGCCACGGCTCCTGGGGGCAGGAGGCCGCATCACCGCTCAGGCACGGGGACCACCGCCATATGCCCTTCGCCCACCACCACCTTTCCCTACCCTGCCCCCCCCGTCCACTCCCTCTCGGGGGTCAAAGGGCCGAAGCGCCCCTCTGAGAATTTGGCGCCGCGCACGAGGGGGTAGGGGGAGGGGGGAAGGCCTCTTGGAAGGAGGCTGCTTCTCAGAAGGCGCCGGCTTTACGTCTACAGAGAAGGCCAGGGCCTTCTGAGAAGCAGGGCTGCTTCTAAGAAGCCTTCCCCCTCCCCCTAGCCCCTTCTGCATGTGGCCCAGAGAAATCGATCATCTCCCCCGCCCGCCTCCTGACGATACTTCTCGGGGCGTCCTTCCCCAAACAGTGTTAGGGATTTTAGATTGAGGGTACTGAGCCTGCGCATCAGTCTGGCGGCTATGTAGTCGACGTCGCCGCCCCGTCGCCGCATCGTCGCCACCCGTCGTCTGGGCCTGCGCGTCGGTATGGCGGCTATGTCATCGCCGTCTCCGCCCCGTCGCCGCCTCGCGGCCGCCTCATCGCCTGGCCCTGCCCGTCCGGGGCAGCCAGACGGCCTGGGCAGCCCGCCGCACTTGAGTCCTCTTCCTCCTCCTCCTCCTCCTCCTCCTCCTCCTCTTCCTGCATCCTCTCTCCTCCTGCTCGCCCCGTCTCCTCCTGCTGCTGCCCTTCCTACTCATCATCATCCTGCTGCTGTCGCTCCTTGTCGTTTTCCTAGGTCTGCTCCTCCTCCTCCTTCTCCTCCTCCTTCTCCTCATGCGTTTCCTCCTCGACCTCCTCCTCCTCCTCCTCCTCCTCCTCCTCCTCCTCCTCCTCCTACTCCTTCTCCGCCTACTCTTCCTCCTTCATCCTTTCCGTATGGGTAACTCCTCCCTGTCGCTCCCCCGGACGTGTCGGTAGGGCAGGCCTGGCGTGTCGCCTGAGACTTCCGCACCACGAATGATCCTGAAGCAAGCGTGGTCTCTACAACAGGTCTGAGGATGGGAGGCGGGTGGTTACACTGAGTGTAACCACCAGCGCACATGATTTAAGATGTTGGCAACAGCTTCAAGGATGGATGGATGGAGGGGGGGCTTCTTTTCAAGATGTCGCTCCCGTCTTGGCGCCGCGCGCCTTCGTTTTCGTAGGGTTGGAATAGACTAGACGTAATGGTGTTCGTGCAAGACTCAAGATTGTCAGGACGCAACAGTCACGTCGATTCAAGGTGCTGAAATCCCAAAAACGGTGATCTGGCATGATTTAGGACTGTCAGGACGCAACAAACAATTTATAAGCCGCGTTCAAGTCCCAGAAATTGTGTTCCGGCATGATTGAGGGTTTCAAGGCGGCTGTCTTTCAATGGGGTACTTCCCACGATGAGCGTAAACTCTTACAGGGACCCATGAGAGAACTTGGAGGGAGGGTTTAGTGCACAATCGTTGATGCGTAATGAATTTACACCGGTCCTAATCCTCCTCATCCTCCTTCTCATCCTCATCTTCCTCTCTTGATTCTCCTTCTGACGCTGGTCCTCCTTCTCCTCCCCACCATGATGCAACAAATACTGATAGTCATCGTGCTCATCACGCTCCGGCTGACCTCCCTCATCCCCGGAACAGGAGGCGCAAGGGTGAGCAGTTGCAGCATGAGAAGCACCATCAGGAGGCCCCCACCTGGACTTCCTCCCACGTGTCCTGATTCTGCCTTGTCCTGATGCAACCCCTCGTCCCCTCATCCTCACGCTTTTCATGCTCATGCTGCTAATGTTGACTCATCACTATGGTCATCCGTTCTGTTGATCCTATCACAATTCTGATCATCACTCGCGTGTTTGCCCCTATCTCGTCCTCCATCCATTGGGAGGAGCAGGCGGAAGATGAGGAGCAACGTCGTGAGGAGGAGCAGCGGCGGGATGCCCACATCCTCCTCCTCCTCCTACTCCTCCTCCTCCTCCTCCTCATCGTCACCCTCATAAGCATCATCATCGTCATCATCATCATCACCACCATCATCATCATCAGCAGCAGCAGCAGCACCAGCATCATCATCATCATCATCATCATCATCATCATCATCATCATCATCATCATCATCATCATAATCATCATCATCATCATCACCACCACCACCACCATCATCATCATCATCATCATCATCATTATCATCATCATCAGTATCATCATCCTCACCATCATTATCGAAATCAGTATCATCATCGTCATCGTCATCATCCTCATCATTATCATTATCCTCATCCTCATCATTTTCCTCCTCTTCATCGTAATTCTCATCATGGTCTCATGTTCATGGTGTTGATCCACCTACTCATCATCATGCCCATCATTGTCTTGCCGATGATGCTCCTCCTCATCGTCGTCGTCCCCTTGCTCCCTCGTACCCCCGTCCGAGCAACAACAGCAGCAACAGCAGCAAAGCTGGTGTCGGTTATCCTCCACCGCCTGCTCCTCCTCCTCCCATGTCCCCCTTCTCATCCCGCTCGTGCGTTGCTGCTGCTGATGCTGCTGCACGTCCTCGTCCTTTCCCCTCGTCCGCCGCCGCCATCCTCACCACGAGGTGCTGCAACACACATCAGGAACAGCAGCATCAGCAGAAGGAGCAGCTGGGAGACGGCGAGGACGATCAGCGAAATGACGAGCACCAGCATCAGGACAAGGGCAACGGGGCAGCCGGCGAGGAACAATGGCAAACACAATTCTGGTCCAGTCGCTGCTTTTCATGCGTTACCACCAGCCCTTCTCCTGCATACGGTTTTCAGGAAAATGTAAAAATTGTTGAGGTAGCCCTTGGGATTCCCAACAAGCCCATCGAGATCCCTGACCTTAGTAAGTCCCCAAGGGTACGCCTAGGATCCATTTAGAAAACATCAGTTTACCTGCGGGAAACCCTGGGTGGGGTACAAGAGTAAACACGCTCAGGATGCAAGGACACCTTCGCATACCTGACGCATCCAAAAGATACATGTGGGGTGGTATCAGAATTCCTGAGGAATCCGTGAGAAACACGAAAACATAAAAACAGATGGCGGCAGAGACATCTCGGAGGACCCGTCTGAAAACCAACACGATCCTCCAGGTACTCATCAGGATGTGCACAGGATGCGGGAGGGCATCCTGAGAAATCCGAGGGAACTCCTGGGGCATCCACGGGACATGGTCAGAAATGTCTAGGGATGACGTACGGCTTCTCAAGAATTCCTCCAGGTCCTCGTAGGATGAGCCTGCGATCATGTAAGAAACGATCAGAAATCCTCCAGGAACCCGTAGGTCACCGTGACAAGCGCTTCGGACTCAGAAGGAAACGCATCGGATTCTGCAGGAAATCCCGCCAGCCCTCTGGGCGACAGGCGGTCTAGCGGTGTCGTTATTTCCTCTTCCACATACCCCTCTTCCCCTTCGGGGAGGAGCTTACCCCTCCCCCTACCCCCTCCCCTGGACCTGGACGGGGGGGGCCGCGAGGGGTTAGAGCGCACAAGACGGACCAAGATGGCTCCAAGAGGGCCTCAGAGAACCCAAGATGGCCTCCAAGATGGCCCAAGACAACCGAAGATGCTTCAAGACAGCTTGAAGCATGCCTCCCTCCAAGAAGCCCCAAGAGGGCCACAAGACGGATCCAGGTGCCCTCGGAGACCCTCCAGACCTCCCCGAGGGGCCAAAATCCCTCAAAAGCCTTAGGACAATCAATGATGGTTACCACCTTGACGCCTTTTCGCTTCCAATGCGCTTCTGAGGCCTCAAGATGGCCCCAAGATGGCCCAAGAGAGCTCCAAGAGGAGCCCAAGAGGCCCCCAAGACGGCCCCAAGACCTCCCAAGAGCGCCCCAAGAACGCCCCAAGGGGCGATTTTGAGGGCTCTTAGGGGGGGAGCTACGTAAGGGACCCCCCCTCTTTAGTTCGATGGCCTCCAAGATGGCCCCAGGACGCCCTCCGAAGCTCCCAGGAGAGCCCCAAGAGAGCCCCTAGAGGGCCCCAAGACCCCCCAAAACAGACCCAAGAGGACCCCAAGACCCCCTAAAAGAGAGCCCCAAGAGAGCCCCAAGAGGAGCCCCAAGAAGGCTCCAAGAGGCGATGTTTGAAGATTCCCGAAAAGAGGCGACTGTGATTCACTACATGTGTCCTTTCTTTCCATTTCCTGTCAGCTCTCGTGGGCAGGTCTTCTTAATGGGCTGGCGGGGATTCGCGAAGAGTAAACAATTCGCTTGATCCCTGGAACCCCGGTGACTCCTTCGGAAGTCTGAAAAAAATCCTTCGGGAAGCCTTAGGATTCTTCATGCAAGTTTTGGGATTTCGCAAGGATTCCATAGGATTCCTTAAACCTGCTCATATCCACTAGGAGTGAGGAGGGACGGGGATAGAGGAGCAGCCCATTCAAACCTAGTCCACTGGGCACTAGCGGGGGGGGGGAAAGGAAACCGCATTGAACATCAGAGAATTTTTGGTTATTCTGGGGCCCTCCATCCCCAGGTCCCACTCTGGAGGTCGTCGTCGTCATGGCCGTCGTCGGCGCAAGCGTCGGCGCCGTCGTCATCTCCGCCGTCCGTCGCCAGCGTCAGCGTCATCGTCATCGTCGCCGGCCGCGTTCGACGCCTGTCGCCGGCGCCGCCGTCGCCAGCGTCGACGGCGTCCTCCTCGTCGTCATCTCTGCCGGCGTCGGCGGCCTGGCTTTCGGGCCATGACTCGCGCCTCCGACGGCCGTGCAGGACGACCCGGGCGCCTCCGCCGCGCCCTCGGCGAGGCGCAGCCGCCAGGGAGCACAGCCCCCCGGGGCTGGAAGACCGCTGAGGACCGTCGTCGGCGTCGCTGGCTCCACCTCGGCCGCCCTCCTCGAAGGCCTCGGCGTCGCCAGCGTCGTCGGCGGCGTCGTCGGCGTCGTCTGCGTCTTCCTCTCTCGGGGAGGCGTGACACTCGGGTTCGGGGGACTCGAGTTGGCCTGACGGCGCCATCATGAGAATGACGAGACCCAGTCGGAAGTCTGACGCGAGCTCCCGCTGCAGACATCCCACGAGAACTGGACCGTCACAGTCCAGGGCGCGCTCGTCAACAGAACGCAAGCGAACCCAAGCTCCGGCGTACTCAAGCCTTACGCTTCAGCAACTCTTCGCCGGCAGCGGCGCCGCCCGGCGTTGCACGGTTTTCCCCTGGGCCGCAGGCGACCCGAGGAGGAGGAGGAGGAGGAGGAGGAGGAGGAGGAGGAGGAGGAGGAGGAGGAGGAGGAGGAGGAGGAGAGGGGAGGAGGGGAGGAGGAGGAGGAGGAGGAGGAGGAGGAGGGGAGGAGGAGGAGGAGGAGGAGGAGGAGGAGGAGGAGGAGGAAGAGGAGGAGGAGGAGAACGATGACGAGAACGAGGCGGACGGGTCGCCTAAGCCTCTCGGAAAAAACCCTCCGCCTGGCGTCCTCGGCGGCGGCGGCGCCGGCGGTGGCGGCGCCGGGCTCCTTCGCGTCCTGCAGGCGGTGGCGCTCCAGGAGGCCGCCGAGGCCGACGGCGCAGAGGGCGCGGACGATGGCGGCGGAGTGCGCGCGGGGCGGGCCGCCTCGCAGAGGGGAGGGGCCCGCGGCCGGCGCGCAGGGGGCGCGGCGCCGTCGACGGCGCCGTCGGCCGCGCCGTCGGCGTCGGCGGCCGCGCGCCCGTGGAGACTGCCACGGCGGCGCCGACGGCCGCGGCGTCGACGCCGCCGCCGCCGAGGACGTCGGCCACATCGGCGGGCGCCGGGGGACGGATCAACGCGGGGCCATGCCTCGATGCCTGGCCCTCGCCCCCCTCCTACTCTCTCCGTTCTCCTCTTCGCGCTCGCGCTGCGGGAATCGGGGCCGATGGTCAACGCAGCCCCCCCCCCATCCATCCCCAGCAGCAGTCTGCCATCAGGGAGGGAAATCACTGAAAAGACCCTGGGTGGAGCACGTCTTCAGTCAAGACTCTGAAGACAACCACAAGTTCATCATGCAGTGCACAATGACATGGATACGTATAATGCGAAGGCGCTGGCAAAACTCTGCTCTGGCAGAACAGGGCATAAGAAAGAGTGAGAGAGACAAAACAAGAGAGAGAGAGAGAGAGACCCCCCTCCTATCCTCTCATCCTCTCCCCGCCCAAGAAGCACAGGGGCCGCGCCTGGCGCTCCAGCTCAGGGGCCCTGAAAAGGGCTGGAAGAAGACGGGGGCGCTTGGAGAGGAAGGAGGGGAAAAGGGGGGCCCGAGCCTGAGGGTGCCCCCAAGACCAATGCCTCGTCCGACCTTGGAGCGCTCGCTGGACCTGCGCGGGCGCGCACGCGGCAGGAAAAGTCCCGCAGCCTTGCGGCCTGCTCTGAATTCGCGCCCCGAGGAGTCGGCCCTCTTGCCCCCCCCCCCTGCAAGGAGGGAGTGTAACGTGGGGGCCAGGGCGCCACATGGAAATGCACTCGCCGGCGAGCACACTCTGAGGCATTTAAAGCATCCGCGGGCGACCCCGCCCCAGTCTGGCAGGCGACCCCGTCCCAGACTGGCAGGCGCGGGTAAACTTTCGCTTCGGCGGCTTTGTGACCTTTGGCGCGGGACTGCTTGCCATGAAAGTCCTTAAGCGGTGGCCGCGCACTTAGGGCTTGGGCAGCTCCCGCTGCATGGTTACAGTAGTCAGCCAGGGCTTGCTAGTAGACCTCGAGCGCCGCTGGAGGATGCCCATGGGCTCTCGAGGCAAGTCCAGCAAAGAGGTCCGCGAGCGCATCCCCCTGGATCGAGAGACCGTCAAGGTCATCTTCAGCGCTACATAGGTCTCTGTGGGTCGCGACCTTGGTAAAAGTTGGCCAATCGCAGTAGTCTAACTTGTGTGCTGGTGGGCGCCAGCGCTGCGGCCGTGGGCTCCCCCCAGTAAGCGTTTTCTCTGGCCAGGGGGAAATCAGACCAAGTGCGCTGCGACTATAGTGGATTATCGTTTCAGCAGGCAGGTATGATCTTATGCTGGCTAAAGACACTGCTGCATGCTCAGTATCACCACTAGTCTGAGGGCAATCTCGAGGGAGCGGTGGAAAACATGGCACGACTGAGCGCGCCTGCTTCATCAAATCGACCTGCCGCCACTCCTGCCCTCGCAAGATCTGGGCTGGTCGGGTGGTCACACCCTCCATCTGTTAAAACCATCGCATCTGCAGGGGATTCAAACGGTTCAATCAGCATCGTGTCTGGGACAACAAATCTGAGGTCCCAATCTGCGCTGACCGGGTCCAAAGTCGGAAGCGGCTGCCAGAGATCACTGCACAGTGGGTGATCTGGCCCAGCTTCCAGGGCATCCTGAACTAAAGACAGAAAAAACTTCTTTGGTCATGTCCACATGGATATTCTCAAATCCGTTGGAAGACCGAATCAATTTTGCCACAGAAAAAAAGGCACGTTGCCCTCCACTAGAAGACTTTTTTAGCAGCAAACAACCACGTGCCCTCTGCCCGAATCTGGCCGGCAACTGGATGGGCCATTGATGCAAGCTTTCGACAAACACTTCAGCTAGCTTAGTGGCCGAAAGTTCTTGCTCAAGTACACTGCGCCGCCCTAGCAGGCGGCGCTTCAGTTAGCGCGATCTTTTGCCCAGCTTTCGCAGCGAGGTTCTCGGGCGACTCGACGGCCCACCCCGCTATCTCCTGCCGCAAAATAGAACCTGACAGAGGCCCCCTGTTCCGAGATCCCCAAGGCTTCCCGGCGGCGGACTCAACCCATGCTCGGGCTTCTCTGGGCGCTGCCGAGAGGCTGCTCAAAGGAGTGGCATCTGCATGCACTGCGCCCCCTCCGGGACGGCGATTGGTGCTATGCCGCCAATCGTGCGCATATCTACCTTTCTAGCGCGGCTGCTGCTGCGTAATTCGGGTCTTCTTGATCCATCTCAAAATCCTGCTGTTGTCCATCTCCATCAGGGAAAACGGCTCGAGATGGCCACCTCCCCCTGCCTTTTTGCTTCCTTTCGATATGAGTCCCTCCTGTGCCTCCTCTGGCGGCTGGAAGAGGGAAGTGGCCATGTCGGTGGCCGCCGCGTAGACATCCCCCGACTGAAGGCCGATGGAGCTGATCGACTCCTGGTAGAGGTTGCCCAGGTGGGTCTTCGTGGCCGCGTCGAGCTTGCCAATGACCGTCGTCCACGCCTCGAGGTTGACCCCCAGCTGGTCGGGGGCCGGGATACCTTGCGATTCCTGGATTATGGTGGCCATCGTATATCTGGAATGCTCGATGGCTGCATGCTCTTCCTCGATGAGTGTGTGGAGCTTCTTACACTCCTGGTCCAGGTTGTCAATATCAACCAAAATGTTGTCCTGACGCTCCTCCATGTTTTGATTATTTGTTCGCGACGGCGGATGTCTTGTTCACTGTGTTGAAGAACTTTTGACGCTGGCTGTTTGGCATCACGAATAGACCGTGAGGCATTGAGGGGTTGGTCAAACTTCTCTTTTAAGCCTTCAGGGAAAATGTCTTTGAACTTGTTGTCAGCACCTTGTACTCAAATATGTAATAACTGAAAACATGTCGGGGCTTGTCGGCAGTGGGTATATGTCTGTGTCCAGTGGTAGCCCTTGCCCTTGCCTTTGCCCTTTGCGGTTCTGGTCTGTCCTCCACTTTGGCGATGACCCCCTTGTCCACCTGTTTGCCAAACTCCACGGGGTGGTTGGGCGCGGTGGTGTTGGAGGCGTGGTAGGTCTGCACCGCAATGGTAACACCATTTGAAATACTCCTCCTCATCCTCATTCTCCTCCTCCTCCTCCTCCTCCTCCTCCTCCTCCTCCGTCCCCCTCTTGGAAGAGGGAGCCCATGCGCAACGGCTCCATGCATCAGCAAAGACGAAAAGCTCCCGGGACGACCAGCCGGCACTCTCCGGTCCGGCGTGCTGCTCTTGCCTGGGGAGCAGCAGTAAGGAGGGGGGGCTGGCTCCAGGGGGGGGGGAACACGGACCTGGAATCGGCGACACGTCGTCGAGAGATCGGCAACGGGCCCCCGACAGCGAATCCGCAAGGTCCTGCCCGGGTGGGCTACGAGGCCCCTATCGGCGATCCATGGGGTGTTGGGGGTCGGTGCGTTTCCCCCCGAGCCTGTCTCACCCTGACGGTGCCCCTGACGAGCAGCGCAGCCAGGACAACTCCCTCCAGGAGGAGGATCGGAACGAGAGGGCGGAAACGGAGCGGAGACGGATCGGATCGCCAGCGAATCGTCCGAGGTCGGATCCAAATCGGATCGCAGAGCCTGGCTCTGGCTGGCTGGCCGGAACCGAACCGAAACATAATCGCGGCCCCAGACTGCGAACCGAATCGGATCGACTCGGATCGTTGGCAGCCCTGAGAGGGCAGAAGGCTCACCCTTATGATCAGCGCCTCATACGCATACTTGCGAAGCCCTTCTGACAAACGCACGCATGGAAAGAATCGAGCACGGCAGGACTGTTCAGTGGACACGGCAGGACCAGTCAGCATCAGGGGCAACAACGTCTTTCCCCATCTACGGTAGGTTCGTGCGGCATTGGCGCGCGCAAAGGTTTTTGACAGCGCGTCCATCGTTCAACCTTCAATCGATTCAAGGTCGAATCCGTCGTGTCAAACGTGTGTGTGCGCGTATGTGTGTGTGTGTGTGTGCGTGCGTGCGTGCGGGTGTGGGTGTGGGTGTGTGTGTGGGTGTGGGTGTGGGTGTGGGTGTGGGTGTGGGTGTGGGTGTGGGTGTGGGTGTGGGTGTGGGTGTAGGTGTGGGTGTGGGTGTGGGTGTGTGGTGGGTGGTGGGTGGGGTGTGGGTGTGGGCGGGCGGGGGGTGGGTGTGGGTGTGGGTGTGTGTGTGTGGGTGTGGGTGTGTGTGTGGGTGTGTGTGTGTGGGTGTGGGGTGTGTGGGTGTGCGCGTGTGTGTGTGTGTGTGGTGTGGGTGTGTGTATGGGTGTGTAGGTGTGTGTGTGTGTCTGGGTGTAGGTGTGTGTGTGTGTGCTGGCGTGTGTGTGTGTGTGCGTGGGTGTGTGTGTGTGTGCGTGTGCGGTGTGTGTGTGTGTGGGTGTGGGGTGTGGGGTGTGTGGGTGTGGGTGTGAGTGTGGGTGTGGGTGTGGGTGTGGGTGTGGGTGTGAGTGTGGGTGTGTGTGTGTGTGTGGGTGGGTGTGGGTGTGGGTTTGGGCGGGCGGGCGGGCGTGGGTGTGGGTGTGGGTGTGTGTGTGTGGGTGTGGGTGTGTGTGTGGTGTGTGTGGGTGTGGGGTGTGTGGGTGTGCGCGGGTGTGTGTGTGTGGGGGGGTGTGTGTATGGGTGTGTAGGGGTGTGTGTGTGTGTGTGTGTCTAAGTGTAGGTGTGTGTGTGCTGGCGTGTGTGTGTGTGCGTGTGTGTGTGTGTGCGTGTGCGGTGTGTGTGTGGGTGTGTGTGTGTGTCTCTGTGTGTGCGTGTGTGCGTGTGTGTGTGTGTGCGTGCGTGCGTGCGTGCGTGCGTACGTGCGTGCGTGCGTGTGTGTGTGTGTTTGTGTGTGTGCGCGTACGTCCGTGAGTGCATGCGTGCGTGCGTGCGAGCGTGGGTGTGAGTACGTGTGTGTAAAGGTGTGCGTAAGTGTGTGCGTGTGTGTAAGTGTGCGTGTGTGCGCAAGTGCGTGTAAGTGAAGGTGCGTGTGTGTGTGTCTGTGCGTGTATGTGCGCGTGTGTGCGTGTGCGCGTGTGTGCGTGTGTGCGTTTGTGCGTATGCGTGTATGCGTGTGTGCGTGTATCCGTGCGTGCGTGTGTGCGGTTGTGCGTGTGCGCATCTATCCACCAGCGCGGTCACTCTGCCTAGCCGCCAGCGCAAAAAGCGTGACTGCGTGTGTGCGCGTGTGAGAGTGTGCGCGTGTGCGTGTGTGCGTGTGCGTGTGTGCGTGTGCGCGTGTGTGCGCGCGTGTGTGTGTGTGTGTGTGTGCGTGTTCCTTTTGGCGTGTAGTTATGTGTGCGTGTGTGCGTGTGTGCGTGTGTGCGTGTGCGTGTGCTGTGTGTGTGCGTGTGGTGTGTGCGTGTGTGCGTGTGTGCGTGTGTGCGTGTGTGCGTGTGTGCGTGTATGCGTGTGTGCGTGCATGCGTGTGTGCGCGCGTGCGTGTATGTCTGTGCGTGTGTGCGTGTGTCTGTGCGTGTGTGCGTGTGTGCGCGTGTGCGCGTGTGCGCGTGTGCGCGTGTGCGCGTGTGCGCATGTGCGCGTGTGCGCGTGTGCGCGTGTGCGCGTGTGCGCGTCTGAGCGTGTGCGCGTGTGCGCGTGCGCGTGTGCGCGCGTGCGCGTGTGCGCGTGTGCGCGCGTGCGCGTGTGCGCATGTGCGCGCGTGTGTGCGCGAGCGTGTGCCTCCTATCGCCAGCATGTGTGCCTGTGTCTCTGTGTTTGCGTGTCTGTGTGTCTGCGTGTCTGCGTGTCCGTGTGTCTGCGTGTCTGTGTGCCTGTGTCTGTGTGTCTGTGTGTCTGTGTGTCTTTGTGTCTGTGTGTCTGTGTGTCGATGTAAATGCGCGTCAGTGTGTCAGTTAGTCTGTGTGTCATCGTGTCTGTGCGTCTGTGCGTCTGTGTGTCTGCGTGTCTGAGTGTGTCTGTGTGTCTTGCGTGCCTGTGCGTCAGTGTGTCAGTATGTCTGTGTGTCTGTGCGTGTGTCTGTGTGTCGGTGTGCCTTGTGTGTCTTGTGTGTCTGTGTGTCTGTGTGTCTGTGTGTCTGTGTGCCTGTGTGTCTGTGTGTCTGTGTTTCTGTGTGTCTGCGTGTCTGCGTCTGTGTGTCTGTGTGTCTGTGTGTCTGTGTGTCTGTGTGTCCTGTGTGTCTGTGAGTCCTGTGTGTCTGTGTGTCTTCGTGTCTGTGTGTCTGCGTCTGTGTGTCTGTGTCTGTGTGTCTGTGTGTAAATGTATCTGTGTGTCTGTGTATATGCGCGTCAGTGTGTCAGTGTGTCAGTGTGTCAGTGTGTCTGTGTGTCTGTGCGTCTGCGTGTCTGTGTGTCTGTGTGTCTAAGTGTGTGCCCGTGTGTCTCGTGTGCCTGTGTGCCTGAGTGTCTGAGTGTCTGAGTGTCTGTGTGTCTGTGCGCCTGTGTGTCTGTGTGTGTCCGTGTGTCTGTTTCTCTTTGGGTGGATTACCCACACCGCCACCCCCCGGACCTCTCCCGGGGCGCGCTCTGACCAGGATCTCGAAGCCGAATCCCGTGGTGGCGACGGAGGCCGCCCCGGAGGCTCAAAAGGGGCAAAACGATGGAAGGGTAGGCTCAAAATGGGCAAAACGAGGCTCAAAATGGGCTCAAAATGGGGTATGTGCATCGCGTCCTCCTCTGAAAATCCCTCGAGGAAGGAAGAAGGCAGAACAACCACCCTCGTATGAAGCACCCTCTGCATGGGATCTGCGGAGGGCCTTGGCCCACGCTCGGGTAGAGCAGCTGCTCCTCCAGGGTCCCCAGGAACATGTACGGGTTCTGCGGCATGAAGAAAACCTCCTCGCTGGAGCGGCCCCGACTGAGGCTCTTTGCCCGCCCATACCACATGCTCCTGGTCATCGCATTGCTCTGGCTCCTCCTCCTCCTCCTCCGTCTCCTTCCAGATGACAACTCCTCCTCCTCCGCCCCCTCATTCCAGACTCCGTCTCATCTTCCTCCTCCTCCTCCTCCTCCTCCTCCTCCTCCTCCTCCTCCTCTACCTATTTCTGCAGCTCGATGGTAGATTCGAAGGATGATGCTGGTGACGGTGACAGTGATGCTGATGGTGATCATATGTTTGAAGACGACGCCGAAGACGACGATGACGATGACGACGACTACGCCACGACGATGACGGCGGCGACGTTGACGACGATGCTAATCAAGATTATGACGACGACCAATGATGGTCGTTGGTGTCGATGGTGCTGATCGTGAAAATCATGGTATTGATGATGATGGATGGTAGTGGTGATGATGATCTTGATGATAGTCATGGTGGTGGTGGCAGTGATGATGGTGATCACGCTGGAGAAGGCCGAGAGCGCGAGAGCGAAGGAGAGCGGGGAGGCAGGACGGGAAAGCAGGATGCGGGGAAGCCGGGTGTTGGGTAGAAACATGCCAGTGAATGGAGGACGGCAGGGCGGGAGGGAGAGGGGCAGGGAGGAGCAGGGGGAGGGGCAGGGCGAGAGAGGGAGGAAGGGGGAGGGGCAGGGAGAGGGGCAGGGAGGGGCAGGGGGAGAGAGGGACGAGCAGGGAGAAGCAGGACGAGGGGCAGGGAGAGGGGCAGGGAGAGGGGCAGGGAGAGGGGCAGAGAGAGGGGCAGGGAGAGGGGCAGGGAGAGGGAGGAGGGACGTGCCAGGGACGACGGAAGATATGCGAGGAGCTCGGGAGCGAAGGCTACGGGGAGGGATAGGTGACAGTGGGGGTGTGCATGTGTGTGCACGGAGGAAAAAGGAGTGAACGCGGATGAAATATGATATGAGGGTAAGTCTGACGGGACAGGATGGACAAGGAAGGTTACAGGAGAAGGAATTCTGAGGATGATAATGATGATGTTGGTGATGATGCTGATGATGATGAAACTGCGGATAATGCTGCACATAGTGACGATGATGATGATGATGATGATGACGATGATGATGTTGCGGATGATGATGGTGATGATGATGGTGAATGCGGTGATGTTGGTGATGGTGACAATGACGACGATGATGATAACGATGACGACAACGAGCACAATTACAATGACGATGACGATGATGATGACGATGGTGGTGACAATGATGGTGATTGTGATGGTGATGGTGGTAATGGTGATGATGATGATGCTGGTGATCAGGATGACGCTGTTGGTGGTGATGATAATACTAGTGGTTTTGGTGTTACGAACGAAGATGATGATGGCAGTGATGGTGATGATGGTGACGATGATGAAAAAATGTGCTGGTGATGTTGATGCTGACGATGATGAGGATCACACGTTTGACCACGACGACGACGCGACGGTGGTGGTAATGATGGTAGCGATGATGGTGATGATGTAACGCCCCTCCATTCAGCGACGACCGACGTTGCCCAAAATAACATGACGCCGGGGATGAGCCCGCCGCGATCCTCCCCGAAGCCCGCGCCGATGCCTCCTGGCGGGCCGCCACCGCGGTCATTTTGCACGGGCCGAGGGAATCGAGGAGCAAGCAGCGACGTCCTAGCTGCCGTCACTCTGGTACGTCGCGAGCTGGTTCCCGTTGTGACGTGGAGGCGCGAACGAAGTCCCCTTCAGGAACTCGCGGTTGGGGGCGTGCTCGCACAGGTCGTCGTGCAGGGGCTCGTCCTCCCGAGCGTGCCGCGCGCCGAGCTCGGCGAGCGTAGGCCTCGTGAAGGCGGAGCCGCTCCCGCTCGCTGTCCGCCGGCCGCAAGGGCGCAGGTGGCGGCAACAGCCGCTCGGTGGCGCGAAGCAGGCCGCGGGCGCTGGGGGCTGGCTGGGGGACCGCGCAACCTCAAGCAAAGAGCCCACGGGTGTAGGTGGCACGTATGATGCCAGGCGTTCTCGAAGCTCTGTCGGAGAATCCGAACGCAACGGACGTTCGTGCCGATCCGGGTCGTTTGGGGTGCCCTCCAGACTGGGCGCCGCCCCTGTCGCAGGCTCCCAGACGCACGTGCGGCAAATGAGGCCAGGGGTAACTCCACCCGCGTTGCAGACTCCACTGAGGTATTATCGTGTGGCCCGCGCAGCTGTGTGCGCGTGTGCGCGTCATGTCTGCGAGCGTGTGCGTGCGTGTCTGTCGGCGAAGTGTCGGCGCCCAGTCTGGAGGGCACCCCAAACGACCCGGATCGGCGGCACTGGCCGAAGGGGAATACAATCGTCTGGCAGCCGAAGCGTTTTTATCGTCGGGAGCGAGAGCTGACACCGTCGGAGGCGCGCCGTGACCGGGCCACGCGGTGGCATCGACGCGTGATGCTTCACCGGCCCCCCTTTTCGTAGCGGACAGGGATCGGCGGCGAGCGAGGGGGGGAAGTGAGAAGGGGAGGGCCTTCTCAGAAGGTTCGGAAGCCCCCCAGCCTTCTGAAAGGTCTTCTGAGCCTCCCCTGGAGGCACCAGAAACCTCTCAGAAGGTGCGGGGGCTTCTGAGAAGTCCCGCCCCGCCTTCTCCTTCTCCCTCCCCCCCCCCCCTCGCTCTCCGCGGAGGTGAGGGAGGGAGGAGCAATCAAACGGAGGGGGTGGGGAGCAGCGGCCGCGCCGAGCTGCGAGCAGCAGCCGCGCCAGGGGGGGGGGGCGCCCCGCCCCGCCCCCCAAAGGGGCCGCGCGGGGGGGGGGGGCTCCTCGCCCAGCGCGCGCCGCACCGTGCCGCAGCCTCTGCGGGGGGGGGCGCGCCCCGCCCACCGCTCATCGTGACCGCTCGTCGCCGCCGCTCGTCGTCGTCGCCCCAGGCCGTCACCGTCGGCGCCGCCGCCGCTGTTACGGGCCTCTTCCTCGTTCCCGGGTGGACGACTTCTGATTCGGCGTGCTTCGGCATTTGGGCGGAAGGGGGGGAGGAGAAGGGTGTCTGGCTCCGGACCTCTGCTTAGCGCGACCGTTTGCAACAGTGTGCCCGATGGAGGAGACCCCACCTGCTCGAAACAGGCGCAGCAAAAACAGCCGGCCAAGATCCACTCGATGGTGGGGGGGAGGGGGGGGGGCGCGAGGGCCCCCGCCGATGGGCGAAACAATGAATAAGAACACGATCACCAGAAGTGTGTCTTTGTTTTCGTGCGCGCGCCACCATCCTCGACTCCACCAGCAGCTCCACGCCCAGCCAACGGGCCCACCCGCGCACGACTGCATGTGCATCGACCAGGGTGGACAGACAGCTCCTCGGCCAAAATGATACCAATCATGATATACAGACAGCGACTCGCACCGCCCCCTCGTCCCAAGAAGTGATCCTGCCCACTGGGCCTCGTCGCGGGCATGGGCTGGAGTCCGTCACCTGAATCGTCCCTTATCGGGAGCGGCCAAGAGGGGGGTGTCCAAGAGGGGGGGGGTGCAAATCATGACCGGCGGCATGTGTGCGGCCCAGCGGGGGGGCCAGGGACGTAATGAAACAAGAAGAGGCGCCATGAAATCCAAGGAAACATCATGGCCCCCACCATGATATCCACCCTCCCCTGGTCACCACTCCCCTCTTTGCCGCCCCCGACCTTCCCCTCTCCTCCTTCCCTCCTCCCACCGGCATGTTTCGAGGGCCGGCATGTTTCGAAACGTGGCTCCCGCTGGAGACGTCCTCAAAATTCAAGCTCTACGAACAATCGAAATCCCAAACTGTGCAACAGCTGCAACCAGTTGCGGGGCGGCTCCTTTTTGCAAAATGCGGATCCCGCTGGAGACTTGCCAAATGTTCGATGACCCCGAGTTTCAACTTGCTCCTTGAACTCCATCGTCACACCTCTTTGCGCCTCCTGCAGCAAGAAGGACTGCGGGTGGATCGCTTACAAGCCGGGGCCTCGCACGAGTGGCAGGACCACTGAGCGCTGGTCATCCGAGTGGGGCGCTTCCCAGAATGGAAAGGAACACCCGTAGGGACTTGTCAGGGGGGGGGACGTGGGACGGCTCGCTGTGTTGCAGCGATGGGGATGCAGACTGAGTCAACTCTGGCCTCTCTCTCTCTCCCTCTCTCTCCTCCTCCGCCTCCACCTCCTCCTCCCCCTCCTCCCCCTCCTCAGTATCCTCCTCCTCCTCCTCCTCCTCCTCGTCCGCCGCCGCCTCCTCCTCCTTCTCCTCCTCCTCCTCCCCTTTTCCTCATCCCTCCTCCAATTCCTCTTCCGCCTCCTCGCCGCCTCATTCTCCTCATCCTGCCCCTCCCCATCCTGCCCCTCCCCTACCGTACGGCTTCCGGGTCATGGCTCGGGTCTCCCGCTCTGGGCACCCCCGGAATGCTCTCGGCGAGGCTCAGCTGCAGGCACGCATCCAGAGGCTGGAACAAAAAAAAACGCCAAGGGCCAACAAACACGGCTCGAAGACCTCGAACCTCGATCCCTCCTCGCATCCTCCCCTCTCCTGGGCCTGCTCCTCTTCGGGCACCCCCCCGGGCAGCCGCTCTGCCAGAGGCCCGCAACGGCGCGCAGCAGGGAGCTCTTGCCCACGCCGCTCTGGCCGACGACGAGGGCGGACTGGCCACGCGCCAGGCACAGGGACAGGTCCGCAACCTGCTGGAGAGGGTCGAGGGGGTCCTACTCAGTCCTCCCCCATTCCACTCCTCCACCTCCAACTCCAACTCATCCTCATCCTTCTTCTTCTCCTTTTCCTCCTCCTCCATCTCCATCTCCATCTCCTCCTCCTCCTCCTCCTCCTCCTCCTCCTCCTCCTCCTCCTCCTCCACGGTCCGCAGCCATTTTGGCTCAAGACGCTTTGTCCCACACGGGAACACGTGGCTACCGCTAGTCCGCGGCTAGATCCAGCAATTTCAACGCACCGCTGTGTCAGCCTGCTCAGGCGGCGCAGCATCCATCCTTCGTCTACGGGTAGGCCGAGCGCGGAGTTTGGGCAGACGGCAGTTCGAAGCCCCCTGTGGTGGAAGGATCCTCGTCCACAGGCCCAAAGCAAGAGCCCCTTCGCCATGGGACCGCCAGGAGACTGGAGTCAATTCGCGGCAGGGAATCTCGAGCACGACGCCCCTTCCTCGCCCAGGACTGAGCAGCTGTTGCAGTGTCTGGAGCGCAAGCTCCCTTCCAGCATCGCCACGCAGTTCAAGGCACTGGCGGAAGCAGTACAGGCCCCTGCTCCTCCCAAGCCAGCACCACCCATCCGACCAGCGCTCGCTCGGGAACAGCAGCTCGGCGTGCGCAGGAGGCGTTGGACAAAGCAGTACACAACGAGACCGATTGCGAACAATGGCTTCAACGTGCTCGAGATGATGTGTCTCGCCGTGCAAGAGAGGCCGCCATCACAGATGCAGCGTCCAAACGTCAGCTTCGAGAACAGATCCGGACGTCCGCAGCAGCGAATGGACAGCCTCGACCAGACATCGCGAATGGTGCGATCAACCTCTTCGACCTGCTTTCGGCCACAGAGGACGCCGCCTTGTCGGACTTACTACACTTCGAAGATGGAGAGTCCTTCGACGCGTCGCAGCTCGAGCTGGATCCAACGGAACTGCAGCAAAGCTGTCGAGTCTTCTGCCCAAGGGCTTGCGGCACGCAAGCAAGAGTACCAGGACCTCAAGAAAAGAATGGCGGTCGAAAAACGTCGCACCGAGGGAAGCGCAGTTGCAGCAGGGGAGGCTACCAAGGATGGCTCGACCTCAAAGCCGCCTCCTCAAGAAGCAACCTCAGATTGAGCCTCCCAGCCAGGAGCTCCCGCGAGCTCAACCAGTGGCAGCGGCAGTGCAGCTACGGCGGCGGCTGCGACGCAGGAGACGGTGGAGTAGCCTTCGCAAGATGACATTGGTAAGATGTTGGAGCGTGCAAAGTCCAACAACGCCCGAGCTTTCGAGGAAGCCAGGGCAGCCGCAGGTGAAGGAGGACCACCAGCAGGTGGTCTGTAGCAAGGAGTGGCTCTACCCGAAGCGGAAGTCGAGGGCCCCGCCACCGCCTGCGACTCGCAGGATCGTCCTCCACAATTTCTCCTCGTGGGGGGTGAAGAGCGTGAAGTTTTTTTTCTGACCAGGTATCAGATGTTATCATTGCGCCGGAATCACACATCCTCGAGGATGGCACGAATGACATTCTCATGTGTTTGTCTCTGAATGAGCTTGCTGGCGCGGTGTCCCCTGCGTACAAGACTCGAGAGAGAGAGAGAGAGATAAAAAAAAACAAAAAACAAAAAAAAAAAAAAAAAAAAAAAAACTCAACAAGCAGGAGGCGTTGTCATGGGCATCCGCAGGCACCTCAGCTTTCAGACGTTTCGCCACCTCGCGGACAACAAACACCACGCGCTGGGTTTAGTCGACCTGGACAACGCCATGTGGTCACCTGGGCCGCTGTGCTTCCGAGACCTCGTCGCCCTCGAGTGGAAGACCGCGCACTCGTCAGTACTGATAGTGGGGGTGTACCTCACTGCGTGTGTCGGCGCCACGAGCGGGATAAACATTGAGAAGTTGCTGACGGTCGCGGCGCTCTTGTCGAGGCACACGGGTAAGTGGGCGATGCTCGGGGGCTTCAACGCCACCCCCAAGGAGATGAGCAAACGGATTCATTGTATCGCTTCGAGAGAATTCGGGGACTTGCACGTCACCTCCCAGCTTATACATCCAGACGTCGGAGACCATTATGGGATCTCATGTGATTCGAATTGGTCGGCAGCAGCGAACACTCGCATGGCCTTAGTGTTACCTCGCCCCTTCCAACCGCCGCCTCCCAAGCGCAAGGCAGCAGACCCCGGCAGCAAGAGGTCTCGCAAGAAATTGGAGCACGACCAGAAGCAGGCCGAGCGGGAGCCGCCGGGAAGGAGGAGGAGGAGGATGAGGAGGAGGGGGAAGGGGTGGAGGGGGTGGAGGAGGAGGAGGAGGAGGAGGAGGAGGAGGAGGAGGAGGAGGAGGAGTTACGGAGTTACGGATATTGCGACTGTGTCGGTTACGGGTTATCTTAAAGAGAACGAGCCGCTCTTCTGGCCTGGTCAGCTTTGCTGTAAGCTTTAGGCCAGATCCCCCGTTCGATATTCTTCAAATAATCTACACGATTACTTGCAGGTCTGCCATCGCACCTCTTCCCGAGTTGGGCCAACTGCTGGGCCGCATAACTACCACAGGTGCTGCAGAACCAGATCCCCAGCCCAGCGTGATATTGTAAACTGTGAGTCTCATCAGCCCACCCCCCACAGATGTGCACCCTGCAACGGGGGGGCGGTCTGAACACAACGCCATCTACAGCCCTCAGGTCAAAGCAAGGGGTATCCAACCAGACTTTTTTCCTAGCCTTAGAAGTTGAACTCCTACACTTCAAACAAGAGAGACTGCTTTCAGACAACGTATGAGCCGTGGAAAACTCTTTGCAGACAACAGGCGCGGGTGGCCTGGGCCCAGGGTTCCTGGCGCGGGTCCCGCGGGGCTCCTCGGCCGCCAAGGCCTGCTCGGCTTTTAAAGTTTCCAGGGTGGCGAGCAAAATTCGCATGCGGACGGCGAAAGCCATCTTCTCATTCGTGAGAACTCTGGTACGAATCGGGGCTGGGATTCTGACTGCACGTGCTGCTGCTGACGCCAACTTATCAGCGGCTGCATTACCCACAGCCAAATACAAAGGAGCTCTGCCCTGGAGGACGTCGCATGCCTCTTGGTGAGAATGCACGAAAAGGACAGTACAGACAAGGTTGGGTTTTCTACTGAGTACCTGGCCTGCCTGCTGCCTCGGCCACAATACCAACCAGAACACACATTAGCGTTGTCGGTGGTATAGATTACCGCTCCGTCAGCGCCGATCAACGCAGTGAGAAAACTAAAAAGCTCACCCCTGGCAACTGTTTGGACGGGTCCAGGGAGGCCCCCCCACACAGAAGCAACAAGTTGCATAGTAACAGAAATATCAGAATACTGTGCTAAACCACATCCTACACGTCTCAGGCGAGGGTCAGAAGTATCTTCGCCCCCACTCGCATCGCCGAAAAGGCAAACAGGGGCCGACTCGGAGCCCACGCCGAAGCAGTTATCCACTAGCAGCATGCCGCACTGCAGACACCTGAGTTTATCCTTGTACTGGTTGCTACCCTGTGTCGTCGTCACGTTGTGCTCGCAATCGCCTAAGCGATCTCAGGCAAACTGCTTCCCCTTGAGTTTGCCCTTGGCCTTGCTCGGTGATCTGTGCACTTAGAACAACTCCAAATCCTGTGAAAAGAAGTCTCTACTTCATCTCTGCACTTTGCACATACTTGCGAGATTGACAACTTGGACGTCTCGGACCTGCGCTCCCGCGGCCAGGCTGCTCCCGCAGCTGCAGACAGCAAGATGCCAGACAGCTGCTTGCCATTGGGCCCCTCCTCGAGCTGTCGAAGAAGGGCTCGCAGGGAAAGGTTGCAGATCCCATCTTCCATGCCACCGCCGCCGAAGTGAGTAGCAGCCTGCCGCCACAGCCTCTGCATCACCGCACCCTCGTACTCCTGCAGGAAGGCCTTCGGGACATCAACCTTCTCAAAGCCTGTCAGAGCCTCTGGATTGAATTGCCAGTTGTGCTGCACCCCTGCGCCGTCGGGTTGGACTCTCCAATCCGCAGGACCCTCAGGTTCCCACCCTTCTTGGAGTAGGTAGGTGATCACAGCTGCTTGAGGTCCTCTGACATGCCGACTACGAAGCTGGGGTTGCATCGACCGAAGCTCCTGTGCCAGCTGCCTCCACGTCTTGTCGATCCCATTTCTTAGAGCTGGTTGCGAAAGCCATGTACGAATCCACATCTGCAAACATTCCTTCGGTAAACGACAAGCAGGGTCACGCCCTGGAGCACGCAGATCAAATAACGTCGTAACGCACCTCCCCGTGAGTCGAGGGTTGGATGCGTCACACAAAAAGGTTCGCATCTGTCGCATTCGAAGACCAAAAACACCATGCACCTGATGAGCATATGCGCCCGCAGCAGCAGCACCTTGTTGTTCCAGCCCCGCCGTCAGCCTATACCGCCTGGCTGTACGTGCATACCTCACAACCTTCGCGTGCATCCTCCGATGACGTGAAATTATGGCCGTCCGCGTTGCTCTGACATGCCTTCTGCCGCCACCGACGTCGGCGCCGAGGTACGGAGTCTGCGCCGCTGCCGTCACCGCAAAACCTGACAGCCTGAGGCGCCTCACCACCCCCTTGGCGTCCGCGAGCTTGGTGCACACCACCACACTCTTGGGAGAGATGGTGAGTCCGTCCTTCTGCATCAACATACAAGTCTCCTTCAGGCAGGCAACCAGGCGATCACGCACAACCCGTCTGGACCCTTTGGACACCTGGCTCAAATCGTCAATCCACAACCTATGAGAAAGCTGCACATGACTGGTCGTAATCTTCTGCATAATGAAATATGTTACTGATTTGGCGAAACGCGCGCCTGAACGCAAGCCCTGCACCACCGATCTGGTCGGTGCGAAGGCCTCGGAGCATGCCCCCGCTTGACGAAGGCACCGCGCCGCCATACATTGCAGCAGCTCCAGGCCCAGCACCTCGGCTGGGAAATCCAACCTTAGTGCCGTCAGCCCTAGCCGCAGCCACCCGATGCTGTCGTAAAAGCTGGCGATGTCC